TCCCTCCCCATCCCATCCCCTCCTGTGTTTTCCTCAGCAGCTTATAGACCTGCTGTGCACACACACACACACTCACACACACACATATAAAGGCAGTTGGGATCTGAAACGAATTCTGGATGCATTTGGGGGTGTAAAAAAAGCCATCAATGGTAAGAAATCCTGCAGGCACTTCGCACCCACCGGTGGCGTGAGGGGCAGGGGGGGGTCAGTTTGTCAAGGGGGTGTTTTTTGCAGCGAATGTAAGAGCAACACACACACACACAACACACACACATGGGGAAGATGCTTGGGCAGCAAGCATCATTTTGGAAGGGTTTGCCCTTCCTTTGCCCATCTCCGAGGGCTGGTTGCCTCCCAGAGATGCTCTGGGTGGTGCAAAGCTCCAAATTAACGACTAAACCCAAGCTGAATAATTCAACTCGGATTTTTTTTTCATGTGGGGATTATTTGGCCCTGCTTCCCAACCTGTCCCCCCTCTCTGAGCTGCTCTCAGAAAGGCGTTTGCTGAACAGAAGCAGGAGGAGCATGTTGGAGGGAGCTGAGGTGGCTGTGATGAGAGGATGTGAGCCCCAACTGGGGGTTGGAGTGGGACCAGTCTGTACTGGGAGCTCCCCGCTTCCTTCTTACTGCCCTAAGATAAAGCTTAGCGCTGTCACGGGGACGGTCACCTTCCAGCAGTGACACTCACAGGCTCTTTTCCATCCTGTTGTCTGCCCTAAAACATCGATATGGTTTTGCAATGGCTTAGAAGTGCTTTGGCCAGAAAGGGAAACTGAGGCACGGAGCAGTGCGGCCAAACCAAGTGAGCGCAACCTGCCCAGCACACCCAGTTAATGCAGGGAACCGTTACTGGTTTGGAGTTCCTGTGATTCCGTGGAGTCATCATCCAGCACTAGGATGCTCTGGGACCCATCAACATCTTTGGGGGTGCAACATTGATGGTGTTGCCCTGGCACCTTTAATACCACCCCATTTTGGAGTCTCTCCCTTACTTTCTGGGGGAGAAGGGGTGCTGTGAGCCACGCTGGGTGGCCTGGGGATGCTCTGGAATGTCTCACCAAACCTTGGCAGCAGAGGGAAGGAGAACAGTCCCAGGTCCTGTGCGTAAAATGTGTCCCTGGGGTGTGCGACGGCGGTGACTAAGAGTCTCGGGGGCTGAATTTCTCCGGTCCTTGCTCCTCCTCACCTGCGGAGCAGCCCCTCGGGCCCTGACTCACTTGGCTCCTGGCTATTTCCAGCTTTCCCTCCTCTCTCCCGGCACCTCCTGAGCTGGCAACTGCCTGAGCGTGCGGTTAGAAATTCCCTCCCCAAGTTTTTAGCCTCTTTCCCTCGTAGCGTCGATGCCCGGCGGGATCTTGTCTAGTCCAGTCTCGGTGAAAATATGGTCCCAAGTGTTGCTGCTCTCCCAGCTGGAGAGTAAAACTCTTTTTTTCCCCACGGAAAACTTCCCTGGTTGTGGTTTCACCTCTGCTTCCAAACTCTACTCACTTGAAGCTCCTCGGATTTCCCTTTGCAGCCCAACTTCTGGGGTCCTGACCCCACCTCCATCGGGATTTCCAGGGAGGTGACCACCTGTAGGGTCATAGGCTCTTTTGGGAACACCCATCCCAAGCTGTTGAGCATCTCTTGGGATCGTGTAGATCATTGGCGGGTTCTGGAGGACTTTTGGTGCAGATTTGGTGGCCACTGGGTATATACACATAGATTTTTATTTTATTTTTAAGACAGCTTTGGAAAACACCTTGAGCTTGGAGCAGAGGCCAAAGCTGAGACACGAGACATCTCAGGTCAGCTCCTCAGCTGACCCAAAAACTGGGGCAGCTCTATTGACTTTGGGGAAGGGGGGGGGGTTGATGTTTGGCTGCGAACCTGATGCTCCTATTTTTAGAGGCTGCTTTTGCTCCTGGGGCTAAATCAGATCTCACCTCCACGGCTCATCCAGCAGGGCTGCTGTGGTGCCTGAGTGTCTGCAGGGTCTCACTCTTTTCCTTAGTAATTGTTTGGGTTTTTTTTGCTTCCTACTTTGCTTTAAATCTAAGTTTTTAATCTCCACGTTTTCCCGAGCCTCCCAATATGGGGAAACTCAGGAAGGTTCCTCAGCCCTCAGCTGAAAAGTGGATTATTTTGGCTGTGCCACTGCTGCATGGACACGCTCACCCCGTTAAACCAGCCTTGCTTTAAGATGATGCTTTTTGGGTGGGTTTTCTTCCCAAATTGCGTGTGGCTGATGGGCTGATGAGCAGCATCACGGCGCGTGGTCCAGCATGGGCTGTTCTTGGGGATGGAGGTGGGGGAACTGTGGAGCATCTCAGCCAGAATCATCTTCCAGAGGTTTCTCCATCAATTAAATCCTGGCTTTAAACTTCACACCTAACTTTTAGGAGGGGTGATGCTCTCTCTCTTTCTCTCTGCTGGACCCACACGGCTTTGCCCTTGGGGACATCCCTCCAAGGATGCTCTCGGGCAGGCTCAGGGCTGCCAGCACGTTACTGCTGGTGGCCGGGGCTGGGTTTTTCTCCGGCGTGACTCAGGCTGTCTCTGCTGCTGATTCACTCCAGCCGAGGACCCGGGCTGTCGTCTGGAGCAGGCTCACGGCGCGGCTGCCTGCTGAAACGCAGCCCCTGGGGTGGCTTTGGCACCAAAAGGTCTCATCCTGCTCAGGGTATGGGTGAGGTGTGTTGAGGACCAAAGGGATCTGCAGAGGAAAGCCAAACCCACTGGGCTTTTGTGCTGGAGGAAGGTAGAAGAAGAGCTTTTCTGCTCAGAAGCTTTATTTTCGGGGGCTCTTGGAAACAGATGCTCTGGGTAATGGACTCATCATGAGCTCATCCTGGCGGGGAGGAGGCCTGAGCAGGATTGATGGGGTAGGGGGGGGGAGCAAAACGACAAAGTGTTTTCTTTCTGACACAGAAATTTCCACCTCTCATCCAAGGCCTGCAGCCTGCCCTGGGGAGGAGGAGATGCGGAGGGGATAAAGGTCTCACTGATCAAGCAGAGGGGAGAAATGGGAGGGTCTAGGTGGCACCAGGTCCAGGCTTCAGCAGGATGCTCTGTCTGCTCCTCTCCTCCTCATCCTGCCCTCCCAGTCCTGGGGTGGGCACATCGTCCACCACCAACCCTTGGGGAGCAGGGAGGGGGCAAAAGGACGTCTCTGATCCATCCTGACCCCAAACCTCACAGTCACGAATGGTGCAAATATCTCATCTAGCGGGTTTGGGGATGAAGGTGAGGGAAAGCTCTTCGAATTAGTCTTCTCAAAGTTCTCTTTTTATGTCTGTTCCCAGTGGAGCCTTGCTCCAAACCCAGGTTGATGCAGGTCCCTCTTCATCCCTTCATCACTGTCATCACCCACAGCTGGGGCCCAGCACACCTTTCCCTGTACATATCATAGCACTTGGAGAAATGTTCTGGACTGATGGCCCCAGACACTGAGGTTTGGTGTCAACTCATTGGGACAGGTTCAGGGAACCCTCCCCATTCTCCATCATTGGTCTTGGGGAAGGGGGTGGCAGCAGCATAACTCCTGGGGTGTTTTGAGCCTCATTTTTGTTGAATGAGAACATCTCCCATCCCTGCCATTGCTATTGACTAGGAGGGATTAGAAGAGACGGACCAAAGGCAGGTGACACTCAGGCTGCCGCAAGGTCATTGTCGTGGTGGTTCATAAAACTGCTGCTCTCCTCCACCAGTTGGCCCAAATCACCTAACGGCCTGGGCAATCTCTACTTTTGCAGGTGGTTGCTTTTGCCTCGCTCTTCTTCATCCTGGTCTCCATCACAACCTTCTGCCTGGAGACGCACGAGGCTTTCAACATCAACGTCAACGTGACGGAGACCCTGGTGGTTGGCAACACCACGACGATCCTGCTGACGCATAAAGTGGAGACAGAGCCCATCCTCACCTACATCGAAGGGGTCTGTGTCTTGTGGTTCACCCTTGAGTTCCTGGTTCGCATCATCTGCTGTCCAGATAAGCTTCTCTTCGTTAAAAACCTGCTCAACATCATTGACTTTGTGGCCATCTTGCCCTTCTACCTGGAGGTAGGTCTCAGTGGCCTGTCCTCCAAAGCTGCCCGGGACGTACTGGGCTTCCTACGGGTGGTCCGTTTCGTCCGGATCCTCCGAATCTTCAAGCTGACACGGCACTTTGTGGGTCTCCGGGTGCTGGGCCACACGCTCCGGGCCAGCACCAACGAATTCCTGCTCCTCATCATCTTCCTCGCCTTGGGGGTCTTGATTTTCGCCACTATGATCTACTACGCCGAGCGGATCGGAGCCAAGACCTCTGACCCTCGTGGGAGCGACCAGACTCACTTTAAGAACATCCCCATTGGGTTCTGGTGGGCTGTGGTCACGATGACGACCCTGGGCTACGGCGACATGTACCCCAAGACCTGGTCGGGCATGGTGGTGGGGGCTCTCTGCGCCTTGGCCGGGGTGCTCACCATCGCCATGCCCGTGCCCGTCATTGTCAATAACTTTGGGATGTACTATTCGTTGGCCATGGCCAAGCAGAAGCTGCCAAAGAAGAAGAAAAAGCATATACCCCGTCCGGCCCCGCTGGACTCCCCTACTTACTGCAAATCTGAGGAAAACTCCCCCCGTAACAGCACCCAGAGCGACACTTGCCCCTTGGCAGTAGAGGAGGGGGTGGCTGAGCGGAAACGGTCAGGTGAGACCCCATGTGGGGCAGAGGGAGGGGGAGTCATCCGGGAGCACCCCAAGGCAGCGGTTTTGGTCCCCTGTGTCTCAGAGTCCCTCTTGGGTTGGTGGGAACTTGGTGGAGAAAGGTCTGGGGCCCTTGGGTGTCCAGGTGTTGGGTGCTATGTTAGTGGACCATGATGCTGCAGATAAAAAGCCCTCTCCAAGCAGGGGGGAAGGCCATATCCCACTCTCCTAATGGAGATCAAGTCACCATGGTGTGATTCAAGGTGTCACTACCTAACCCCCCTCTTCCTCACCCTGACAGAGGCAAGACCATTTGCCCAATTCCCATTTTAGCCCAGTAATGCCCTTGGGGTAGATTTTCTTTTGCTTCCTCCCACTGTAAATTAGGGCAAGTTTCACCAAAATGGATAAATCCATGGATGTTCCCCGGGATTCCTCCTCCCCATTCATCTGCTAGTAGATGTAACATGCCTGCACAGCAAGGTCAACGTTGCTCCAAACCCTGAGCTCGGGCAGGAGCAAAATCAGCCCCTGTACGTTGATTATTTGGTCTCATGCACTGAGCATGAAAAGTTTGGGGGTTGGCCACTCGTTCCTTTGGGTGTAGAGGGCATGGCCCCCACTGTGGGCAGTCGTTGGTGGGCAGCATCACTTGGGCTAAGCTTGGGGGACTGCAAGAGCCCTGCTGTGATATCGTTGCTGGCCATGGAGTCTGCTTTGCCCCTTTCATCTTGGTTTGCTGCCACCAGCACCTACTGGCAGCCAGCTTTGCAGTGTGGAAGCAGGAGGGACCACGGTGGGGTTGTGTCCTGCAGCAATGTAGGATTCCCTGAGGTCAGCCCTGAGCAGCCACTCATCTGGCTACGTGTCTAACAGTGATGGTCTTTCACCTGTGGGGACACCAGGAGCTCCAGATGTCCCAGACGGGTGTTTCCCTTTATAAATCTCCCATTTTACCTGTTAGAACAGGTCCAGAGGAGGCCCTGGAGATGCTGGGAGGGCTGGAGCCCCTCTGCTGGCAGGGGGTGCTGAGAGAGTTGGGGGGTTCAGCCTGGAGAAGAGAAGGCTCCGGGGAGACCTTGGAGCCCCTTCCAGTCCCTCAAGGGGCTCCAGGAAAGCTGGGGAGGGACTCTGGATCAGGGAGGAGAGCCCTAGGAGGAGGGGGAAGGGTTTGACACCAAAAGAGGGGAGATTGAGATGAGATGTGGGGCAGAACATCTTGGCTGTGAGGGGGGTGAGAGCCTGGCCCAGGTTGCCCTGAGAAGCTGTGGCTGCCCCATCCCTGGAGGGGTTCAAGGGCAGGTTGGAGGGGCATCGGAGCAACGTGGTCTGGTGGGAGGTGTCCCTGCCCAGGGCAGGGGGGGTGAGTAGGAGGCCTTTAAACGTCTCTTCCAACCCAAACCATTCTATGATTCTATCCCATCTGCTCCAGGAGCCCGGGCACTGGAGGGGGAGGTCAGCCCAACACTGATCCAGGACTTCAGGCCAGACCCTCACCTGGCATAGCAGCCTCTCAGCTAACGAACCACTGAGTCAGATGACATAAATTAGCACATCACCACTAACCTGAGCAGCCTGTGTCTCAGGAGGGTGAATTTTGGAGAGCTAATTCCCACCAATTAGGTGGGTGGATCTCAAAGCCCAAGGGTGTTTCTTCCCTGGCAAAGCCTGTTTGGGTATATTTTTGGAGAGCTAATTCCCACCAATTAGGTGGGTGGATCTCAAAGCCCAGGGGTGTTTCTTCCCTGGCAAAGACTGTTTGAGTATATAACCCTCAGGGAGTGAGAGCTGCTGTTGGCTGCTTGGGATTAAAATCTGGCATGGTCCTGCTCTCCTGGATGCTCTAAATTGGCATCTCCAGGCTGGGATTAGTACCTGATTTGGTGGGTTATCTTTGATCTGGTCTTCTGCTTCCTGGCATGGTCTAAATCAAACCCTTCTGGCCACCCTGAACACCTTATCCTGTGGGTTTATTGACTGCTGATGGGTCTCTGCCACCTTCTTGCAGACTCCAAGCAGAACGGTGAGGCCAATGTGGTCATGTCAGATGAGGAGCAGCCACTGTCCCCGACTGATGAGGAGAAAAGGCCCATGAGGCGCTCCAGCACCCGGGATAAGAACAAGAAATCCTCCACGTGCTTCCTGCTGGCCACCGGTGACTTCTCCTGTGCAGCAGATGGAGGCATCCAGAAAGGTACAACTGATGCTGGAGGTGTGAGCTGGCCCGTGGGCTGGGGAGGGGGAGATGGAGGAGCGAGGTGGAGGTTTCTTGCATTGATCCCAGATGTTGGTTCATTTCCATCTGCCTGCCTGGCTGTGGTTCTCTGCTCCCCAAATCCACCTGTCCTCTTGCCTCTCCATCCGCTCCATCTCCTTCCACCATGTCTCTCCATGCTAGCTCTCTGCTTTTTGTTTTCTCCTCCCCCAAGTTCTCCTCCTCTGATTGCCACCATCTGGGGTCTGTGACCCCATGCTTGCTGGGGACAGGTCTGTCCCTTTGCTTCCCAGTGCTCTACTTCTCCTGTCCCTCCAGTTCTTCTCCCTGGGGTCCCATCACCCATCTCAGGGTGGTGTGAGGGGGACATCTCTCCTGGGGAAGTGGTGAGGTTGTGACTGAAGGTGGTCAAAAAGTTTTCAGTAGGGGGGAAAAAAACTCCAGAAGCATTTCCTTTCCTCTCCTCTCCCCTCCCTGATGTCTTTTGGTGGGTTTGAACGTGGGGAGCCGCGATGTGTCAAGTTCTGCTTTGCCAAAAGTGCGGGGCTGCCAGAAAGGCTGTCTCCTCGGGGCTTGGAAAGGGAGCTGTGCGAAATGTTGAGGTTTTCTATGGGAAACTGTGGGGGAGATGAGTCAGGAAAACATAAAACTCTTCTTCCCATGGCAAAACAACAGTCTTCTTCAGTCTGGTCCCTTCGCACCATCCTCCAACCTTCACTTCTCCACCAGTGAGCGTGACCCGTGCCCATCTCCCAGCCCCTGGGAGTGTAAATCCAGTTCCTACCCTGAGCCACAAAACCCCAGCTGCACCCTCAATTGCAGGAATATTTCTTAAGACAGGGCTCAGTTTTTCAGTTCTGCCATTTTTCTCGTGTGTCCAGGGTGGTGTGGGATGATGTAGCTCCAGAGCTGACCTTCCTCTACCTCCTTGGTGCCATCTAATGCCAGTTGCTCACAGGGAACGGTGGCCGTGAGCTGGGACTGGGCAGGAGAAAAGATGATGTTCTGCATCTCTGAGCTGCTCACCAAGACCTGGCGGCTCCTGGTGTGGATGCTTTGGAGGCCCTCAAGGGTTCCTTGCTGTAGCATTACTTGGGATGGTAAAGACGGGGTGGGTTTGGGACACAGGGAGGTGTTTGGGGGCAATCACATTTATTACATTAGTAGAAGGAAATTGGTTGCTTCCTCTCCTGGGAAATCAAGGATTCCCTGTGGCACTGCTGCTCAGCGTTGTCTCTTAAAAAAGAGGGAAAAAATGAAAGGCTTTGTTCATCTTTGGGTAGAAGTGTGTAGTGCACAGATATTTGTGTGAAAAGCCTCAGGGTTTTTTTTGTTTTTTTTTCCTGGAAGTGCCTTTTAATGTGAAATTAGTCTCTCTTCTTAATGCCTGCTGACACAAAGAGATGAGGGGGCTCTAATCCTGCTCCAGACTGGGGGCACACATCGAACTTGAAGGGCTGAAGGAGAGGGATGAAAGCCAGCGAGGTTCTTCATCCTTACAAGATGCTCAAGTCAGACACCTCTTCAACTGAGGCATTTGAGCTCAGTCCCACTGAAGCCAGGAAAATCAGAGTAGATCGAACAGCTGAGGATCCAGTGATGCTCTCACTGGGCTCCCAAATCATGTTACTTGGTTGCAGGAGGTCAGGAGATTCATTTCATGCGTGGTGGCAAGAACAGCTATTTGAAAGGGCACTTTGGTGATCTTCAGTGGTTTGTTCTGGTGTCCTTCCTGAAAATGTGGTTGATACAATTAAAAAATAGATGTGTGTGTGGGTGCGTCTTGCTAAAATGGTCTTGCACCTGGAGAAAGGTGGACCTGGTGCCCAGAGGGGCTTGAGTGATGCCTGAGATGTTCTGGGAAGAGGGAGCCTCGCTATCTGCTGTTGGGGATGGACCAGTGGGATGCTGTCTGGGGACCTGTTGTCTTCCCTGGTGAAATGTCTCGGCGTGGTCAGGGTTGGTGGTGACCAGAGATGTTCAGAGGGCAAAGCACCCTCCAGCCGAAAGCTGTTGGGAGCCGCGAAGGCGCCTCTTCCCTTGGTCCTGATTTATCTCCTGCTGAGGCTGTTTGTTCTGGTACTGGGATGCTGGCAGCTCTGCAAATTGAGATGAGCTTGGTTCTGAGCCCGACTTGCTGATGGCCATCTGTCAGATCCTGGGACAGGTACTGATGTCTGTACAAGCTGTGGAAATCAGGGGATGGAGCTGGTTCAGGACTAAGCTGCAGATCTCAGCATCCATCATGGTTCGAGCCTGATTCCAGCGGTTGGTCTTGTTGGGGTGGCTCAAAGAGAAGAGCTACCCCTGCCCACCACCCCTTGGAACTGGGCCCTGGAGAAGACCGAGCTGGGTTGCAGTGGATTGCCATGTGGCACGTGTTTCTTGTCCATGTTGCTGCTTCCAGTGTTGTCACCTTCCTCCCCTGCTGCCAGGGATGGCACCAGACCCCGTATCTCCCTCCAGCACTCAGGTGCTGCTCAGCAGTTCCCCAAAATGTGTCCTGCTGGGGCACAGACACCTTGGCGTGGGTCTGTCTTGGCATGTGAGCCCTCTTCTTCTGCTTGGATGGAGGGATATGAAGGTGGGACGAGTCCAGCATCCCCTGTTGTGGCAGGATTGGTCATGATGGTCTAGGAAAAGGCGGTGATTGAAACCAGAGTGGGATTTCAAGAGGAGCCATGGGGAATGGGGCTGAACAGAGGGAAGGGGGTTTACCCTGTGAGGGCACTGGCATTGCAAAGCGGTGATTTTTGCCTTAATTGCTGGAATGTGGAGCACCACGCAGCTAATTATCACTCTGTTGCTTGCTGTCAGCCTAGGGACGGGACCATCATGTGGCTTGAGCGGTGCGGGATGGAGCTCACATGAGCATCCGCCAGGGATGCTCGGCTGGGGGAGTAGGGAGAAGACACACACACACACACACACACACACCCCTTTTGCACAGGGCCACGTGTGCAAGGCACAGCCGAGCGGCCAGGCTGCCGTTATCAACAAGCACAGGCGTCCCCATCCCCGTCCCCATCTGCTGCTGCCGCCGCCTTGGAGCATCTGCCAGCATCCCCACGTGCGCTCGGGAGCTGGGAGCATCCTCACGTGGGGAGCACGGCATCACCAGCCCCCTCCTTGGGGGAAAAGCCCCCCCCTCCCCACCCAGGGGGTACCCCCTGCCCCACCACGCTGTTTGTGAGATGCCTCTAGACGGCTCCTTGGCAACAAAGCCATTAATAAAGCAATCCCGGTGACCTCAGGTAGCACCTCGGCCAGTTGCCGGGATACCGGCTCCGTTAACGAGCTGCACCGGTGGTAATTAGCAGAGGGCAACCCTCTGGCGCTTTGTGGCTTGACTCCGTGGGGGTGGCACCTGGCCCATGAGCTTGGTGGGGAAACCACGATGGCCTTGAGGGATGGAGTCCTGAGCTCCTTCCCAGATGCTCCTGCGAGCGTGGGCTGGGAGGAAATTCATAGAATGGTTTGGGTTGGAAGGGACCTCAAAGATCATTGAGTTCCAACCCCCCTGCTCTGGGCAGGGACACCTCCCACTAGAGCAGGTTGCTCAAGGCCCCATCCAGCCTGGCCTTGAACACTTCCAGGGATGGGGCAGCCACAACTTCCCTGGGCAACCTGTTCCAGTGTCTCACCACCCTCAGAGTAAAAATTGATGGAGAAGTTTGAAGCGTTGGGCTAGGGGCAGGTTTGCCCTCAGAATCCCATTGCAGAGGGGGCCCCAGGGCAATCAAGCATCTTTATGAAGTCCTGCCCCAGACTGTGATCCCTGAGACTTAATCAAAGCTGGCAGCATGATTTTTGGCCCTGTTCCTACCCATTTCTACTTAATGGCCTGAGCAAGAGGGGAAAGAGCATCCCTATAAAGTGCTCAAGGACATCAGTGGGTCCTTGCATCGCCAAAGCGGCTTCCAGTAAGACCTGACCCCATAAGACCTCTCTGCCAAAACGATGGGTTTTTGGGTGCTGGATCCACTGGTGACCCCAAACATTTGGACACTGGTTGCATCTCGGCACGATTATTTCCCACATGCAGGGCTCGGGGTGGCAGGGAAATAGGTGAGTTCTTCAAAGGGCCTCAGCCCTCCGGGGGAAAAGAGCAAGGTTTGCTGAAGGATGAGCCTGATGCGGTGTTTTGGGGGGGTTTTGGGGGGTCTTTGCATCAGCTGTTGTCGGTGGGAAACATCCCCAGCTCAGGATGGGGCTCCCCCCACCCCCCCGGCTCACTTCCCTCTGCGCTGGCTGTGTGGATTCCTGCCAAAAAGTAAATAAGGAAATTGCTCTTCTCTTCAGGGCCTGATTCTGCTCTCGCTTCCACTGCGGGAGCTGGAAAAGCTTTGCTGAAGGCAGCAACAAGTTTGGGCAAGATGGTCCTTTGTCCCCTGGACCTTTCTCTGCTTCAAAGCTGGGGGAGCTGGGTCTCCTCGGAGGGGGTTGGAGACTCCCGTGCCTCCCTGTGGGCTGCTGTGGTTGGGAAAGGATTAAGGGAGGGAAAAAAAAAGGTCTAAAAAGAGGATAAAAATCCAATTTAAAGAGGTGGTGCTCTGGAGCCTTTTCCAGGCGATGCTTGTGCCTTGGCATCCTCTTTGGGGGGTGGGGGTGATGCTGTGATTGCTCCAGAGCATTCATCCCTGATCCAAACCCCAAACATCCTGGCCGAGCCAGCACCCACTGTGGGTGCCTTCCCATCAAAGCAGACCCCGAAAATGTGCCGTTACCTCCCCAGGGAGGGGATGGGAGGTTGGGGGGGGCACGACTGGTTTCCCAGCTTGGCGGCTGCCCAAGGGACCATCCATCACCTTGTTTTTCTGCTGTCAGGGAGCCTCCTCCCTCCGTTCCCCCCCCGGGGTGTGAGCTCACAAGTGTTTGCTGTCTCCAGAGCTCACGGGGATGGCAACGGCTGGATTTGTTGCTCCGGGTGCTCTTTGGGAAAGACACCTCCAGCACGGCACAGGATCGGGCCAGGAGCA